CCTGCTTCAGCCTCCCAAGTAACTGGGGCTACAGGCACGTGCCACTGCGCCCGGCTAATTTTTGTATTTTTGGTAGAGATGGGGTTTCGCCATGTTGGCCAGCTGGTCTTGAACTCCTGTCTTTGGTCTAGTTTTCTTATCTCTAGAATGGTTCCAGAATAAATGATTTCGCAGGCTTTTTTTTGGCTCCGAAGTTGTGCTAATGTGACTCACAGTTAGTATTTTCTCTAAGTTTCCCTCAAAGTTTTTAAAAATAGCTTTTAGACAACCTCAAAATTGCAGCTGAAAACTGTAATAAAAATAAAAGTTGTACCTTACTCATTAAATCTCTTTTCTACAAAGAGATCATGTTCTGATTTACTCTTCAGATGGTAAGTAAAATTAGATAAGTCATATTAGAGTTGGCTGCAAAATGGTAAGAGGATTCCTAGACAGTAATTTTGCTTTCTTAGAGTGAGTTCTACAGTTGCCCCAAAATAGGGTGGCTTTAATATGACCAGATAATCCTCTGCTCTGAAATAACCTTTTTCTGAAGGTAATCAACTAGGAAGAAATATTTTTAAAATATCTCATGTCAGTTTGTATTCCATAATCAACAGTGGTTTGTGGACCGCACTGTGATAAGTACTAGTCAAGATACCTTGGTTAGGTCGGGTGCATCCTATTGTCCTGTTTGTTGAAGGTTTTCACTTTGAGAAGACTGTATAGATTTCTACCCAGCTGTCTTTAATAGACCTTAAAATTATGTAGGTTATGTCATCAGCTTGTCTTATACTTGTCTATTTAAAATCATATGCAGGTTGGGGCTGGGAGGAAAAGAAAAAGGAAAAAAGCAGTCATATGCAAAAGCATTTTTTTTTTTTTTTGAGGCAGAGTCTCACTCTGTAGCCGAGGCTGGAGTGCAATGGTGCAATCTTGGCTCACTGCAAGCTCCGCCTCTGGGGTTCACGCCATTCTCCTGCCTCAGCCTCCCGAGTAGCTAGAACTACAGGTGCCACCACCACGTTCGGCTAATTTTTTGTAGTGTTAGTAGAGACAGGTTTTCACCATGTTAGCCAGGATGGTCTTGATCTCCTGACCTCATGATCCGCCCGCCTTGGCCTCCCAAAGTGCTGGGATTACAGGTGTGAGCCACCATGCCTGGCCAGCATTTTCTTTTTTTAAAGAGGTGCTCACTGTGTTACTCAGGCTGGAGTGTAGTGGTGCAGTCATAGCTCGCTTATGCAGAAGCATTTAACACCACTCTTAGTGATTGTTGAATAACTTTTGTGGTGCTTTATAGATAAACTATTGAAAACTTGGTCCTTGGCCTTCTCATTCCTTGCGGAATTGTGTGGATTTGTCTTGCTTGCTGGCCCTCTAGCATGACACTTTGGTTCTCCACTCGTGGAGCGGCACGTGCACTGCTTGGTAATCATTTCTGCTGAGGACTGTAGAGATGCCATTCAGGTAGCTGTTTAGCCTTTCAGCCTCTATGTGTGTTCTGAAGCCTAATGAGAGCCATTTCAGGTGTTTTTTGTCACCTTGCCACCCCCAACCACAGACTTGTTCTAGCTTCTTCCACTTTGTAAGTGTAACTCTTTTCTGAAAAAGTACCTTCTACATGGCTGCCTTGATGTAAACCTTACTGATGCCCAGGTTCCTTCTTTAATCTGTTTTACTCTTTGCCTGCCTTTGCTGGTTGTTGTTGTTCTGTTGTTCTTCATCTTTCGTTTTCTTTTTTTAAATTTTATTTTAAATCATCCCCTCTTATTTGTTCCACCAAACTCATATACTACTTTGCTTTTGCAGCTGCTGCCTTGAATCTTCATTCTTGCTTTTTTCACGTGTTCCTTTGCCTTTGGTATGTTTTTTTGTTTTGAGGTGACACCCGATCATATAATATTCTGGAAGTCCAAGAGATTCAGAAAATCAAACACTAGACAACTTAAGGTTTATTGTATTACTCACAAGTCCTTTTTGTGTAGATATTTATGTTTTGGGGCCACAGGCTTCTTTAGTGACCTGTTATATGAATCATACATTGAAGTGTTTGATGAACTATAACATATAACACTTTTCCTTGTTAATCACTGTTAGCATCATTACTATCATTTCATTATCATCATCTGACTTTCTTTTTTTTTTTTTAGACAGAGTCTCGCTCTGTCCCCCAGGCTGGAGTGCAGTGGCACGATCTTGGCTCACTGCAAGCTCCGCCTCCTGGGTTCACGCCATTCTCCTGCCTCAGCCTCCTGAGTAGCTGGGACTACAGGCGCCTGCCACTGCGCCTGGCTAATTTTTTGTATTTTTAGTAGAGACGGGGTTTCACCATGTTAGCCAGGATGGTCTCGATCTCCTGACCTTGTGATCCGCCCGCCTCGGCCTCTCAAAGTGCTGGGATTACAGGCGTGAGCCACCACGCCCGGCCTGACTTTCTTACTTCGTCTCCATGACCAGCATTTTCACCTGTTTTGGCATATGCTCGTCCCACTTTTTTGTACTCCTTTTCCTTCCATTCTTTGTCTAGTTAATTGCTACTTGTCCTTCATTTCTCTGTCTGGACCTCACTCAGCCTTGATTCACCTATGTTACAGAGTCCTATGAATACTCCAGTTCTAGCTCTTAGTACACTGTTCTCTTATCTCCTACTGTATCCATTCTCAATCCTCAGACATACTGCTCTAGCATCACAATTATTCCTGGAAAACTCCAGGTACTTTCCCACTCCCAGCATACCCACATGGCAGCTTCTGCTCTTCTTTGATCTCTGCTCACGTATCACTGAGTCTGTGAGGCCTGTCTTGACAACCTCACTTCAGATCGCTCCCTCACCTACCCTTCCCCGTGTGGTCTTTCCTTTTGTTGCTTTTTCTCTGGAGCACTTGCCACTGTCTGACATACTGTGTACTTATTGATTAAAATGGATTATATCATGGCTGGGCATGGTGGCTCACACCTATAATCTTAGCACTTTGGGAGGCTGAAGCGGGCGGATCACCTGAGGTCAGGAGTTTAAGACCAGCCTGACCAATTATGGCGAAACCCTGTATCTACTAAAAATACAAAAACTTGCCGGGCATAGTGGTGGGCACCTGCAGTCCCAGCTACTCGGGAGGCTGGAACAGGAGAATTGCTTGAACCCGGGAGGTGGAAGTTGCAGTGAGCCAAGATCACACCACTGTACTCCAGCCTGGATGACAGAATGAGACTCTGTGTCAAACAGACAGACAGACAAACAAACAAAGAAAATAAATAAATAAATGAATAGGATTATATCAGTCTCCTTACTATGATGTAAATCTTATGAAGGCAGAGATTTTGTTCTTTGCCATATCCATAGGTGCCTTGAACAAGGCTTGATATGTAATGGGGTTATATGTAAGTATTGAATGAATAAATCATCACTTACTTGTCTCTCTAGTATATAGTAACCTCCTTGAGAGCAGGAAACATGTTTTGGTTCTTTTAAAATTAAATTAAATTAAATTAATTAATTTGCTTATTTTTTAAATTTTACTTTATGTTCCAGGATACATGTGCAGAATGTGCAGGTTTGTTACGTAGGAATACATCTGCCATGGTGGTTTGCTGCACCTATCAACCTGTTATCTAGGTTTTAAGCCCCGTATGAATTAGGTTCTTATATTTATGTAAGTGTAAACACTCAGCTAGTGATTGGTAAATTGTCACTTCAGTGGCTGTGTGCCTTCAGATGAGATTTAATACTAAACCTTTCTATGTTGACTGTTGGATTGTGTTCAGGAGGTTATTGTGTTATGGCGAAATTGTAGTGAAACAAAAGCAGTAAATACCTTTGGGAACTTTCTTCTTTTTTTTTTTTTTTGAGACAGAGTCTCGCTCTGTCACCCAGGCTGGAGTGCAGTGGCGTGATCTCTGCTCGCTGCAAGCTCCACCTCCCGGGTTCACGCCATTCTCCTTCCTCAGCCTCCTGAGTAGCTGGGA